CGGGGCCGCCCGCACCTCCAGCTGAGCGGTGCGAGCCCTCGGGTGTTGTGGGGAAACAGGTGTGTGTGGAGGCTCGGGAAGGGCAGGGCTGGTTCCGAGGACAGGTAGTGTTTTGTCCCGCAGCCGGGGCTGAAGCTGGTGAGCGGGACGTCCGGACAGGGCGCAGGGACTCGTGGTAGCTGCTCTGTGAAATGCGGAGCTAAAAAGCCAGGTCAGCTTTCAGGTGATCTTGGCTTGTACTTGTAAATCACAGGCCCAAAAGACACGCGTATCAAGACGGCCACCGAACCCCCCAGCGAGGGCAAAACATAGATGTGGACTTCAAATCTTTATTCATACCCATCAAACATGAACATAGAGCCCTTTTCAACTCAAGTTCCCAGAGGAGCCTCAGCAGCCCTGCTCCTGCCGCTTCTAAAGGAGGCAGCAGCAAAAGCCACAAGAGGACCAGGATTTGGATGGACTGCAGTGATTCCCCCCAAGCACTAAACTGGCGACACACACCACAGCTTCACTGCTCCCAGCAGCAGACCTGAAACACACTGCAGGTCCCAAGACACACGGCAGGTTGCCTGGGGTGGCTGGTGTATGTGGGGGCAGTGGCTGAAGTCCCTGCAGAGGCAGCTCAAGAGAAAGGAATAAAAGCAGTTTTCCTACTGCTAGTTGCAAGATAGTGAAAATAAATCGTTTTAGTGGAAGTTAATTGCAGGAACTGTAGGTGCTTTCTATCTCCAAAACCTGTATGTTGGTCTGCTTTCAGATTTTTTAGATATGTATGTAGATAAAACAATAAACTCTTAAAAAATAATTTTTATTTAGCTACAGTTTCACTGGATCATTTGCAGAAGATCTTAGACAGCCCTGGTAGTTGCATAGGATAAGGGCTACAAAAAGTTTGGAATTTTACCTCAACTTAGGATTGATTTCCCCTCATGCCCGTTTTGCTTTACTAAGCAATAGCAGTTGCACTGGAGCATGCAACATGCTAATAACATATTTCATCCTCCTTCTTTAAAAATTCAGATTCCAAATGCCTAACTTGCCAGCCCTTACTCTCAATTTTAATTAATGTAGCACTCGTGAGAAGTGACAGTTTTTTTGACAGTGATGAACAGCAAGTCGTGTATTTATCCACCCGAGAGATGCACGGCAGACAACAGAGCCAGGCACTTTTCTCATCAGTGCACCTCATTCTTGATCTCCAAGGGCTGAGTTCATTACAGAGCACACTCTGGCCCTGGCCTTTCACTTCCAGTTGCTGAAATGAGTTATCAATTTTCATTTGCATACTTTGCTGAACTCTAGACTGCCAATTTAACTTACACCAATCTCCCAAAAAGCTGGTAGATGGCAAAAATTTACATCACTGCCTGAGCTCTTTGTAAGCCATCCACGTATTTTTTCAGATTCTTTGAGTATCTGGGACTGTGATGAGCCTTTCATTGGTACTGACAGACTCATATGTAAGTCACCATTCATTCACCAAAATAATAATCAATAAACCCAGAAGACTTCCAGAAGGGCTGGGTAGTGACAATGTCCTCTTCAATACTATCTTGTATTTGCTTTCAGACTTTTTCAAGTTCTAGGTCCCAACTAGTCTTTCAGGAAATGCTTCAAGGGCAAACGTGAACTCCCAACAGTTAGTGCTGCCTTTCCTGGGTATGTTTATCCTGGACTCTTCATCTCCTAACAAGAGTCCAGGATCCCCAGCAGGTCATAACTGAAAACTGACACCTTCAAACACTAGAAAAACATGAAACAACCTTCAAGGAAGTGAGAAAGGGTTGGCAATCACCACAAAATACCTTACAAAGAGCAAACGCTGATGAAGATGAAAGCTTTCCTGCTCCAAGCTTTTGGTTTTCGTTTCAAACAACGAAATAAAAAGCTGTTTTAACAATACAATCATAGTTGTACGTGAAACCAGAATAACAATTTCAAACTATTTCTTTAAGCAAACACTAGGGACAGTCACAGTGAACTATTTCACCTGGTGAGTCAAGTGAAGATCAGGGCGGGCTCATCCCTCTCCTTAGGAGATTCCCTCACCCGGCCCG